GTATATTGCGGTTAATGCACGACAAACTATCGGCACATGGATCCGGTTATTCATAACAAGTGATCTTAAACTCCTGGCTTTCATAGTTTATGCCCGACCTGTTCTAGCATACTGTACAACCATATTCATCAGCATAACAAAAGTGTTGAACTGAAAATTAATGCAACTCAGAGATGCTTTACAAAAAGACTTGTATGTCGCACATCTACCCTGTCTTACAGATCTAGATGTAGCCTGCTAAATCCCGAGCCACTGTGGCTTCAAAGGTTAGACTAAGTCTATGTCTGCTTGACGAAATTGTTCATCGAAGACGCAAATAAGTTTTTACGAATTGGAGTTCCAAGTACCTTTGCCATATAATCGGAAACTATGATTATGTATTAAACACACCTCGTTATCACACGAAACTCCGATGCAACTCTTTTATGTCTAAATATTTCGTGCTGAATGGAATAGATTGCCTAAGGACATCAGAAGTTCAGCTTCCATTTGGCCATAATACAAACAGCTAAACTATTGCCTAACTCTACAGAGCACCAAAGCAATGTTTTGCCTCGATTGTGCACATGATGAGTATGCATATGAATGCAGACCTAATAATCTCAAATCATCGATCTTCTGCTCCCATCCCTGCTGTTTTTCCGTATTGTTCAATCATCCACCTACACTACATAATGTGTCGTCACTTCAATGAGTTATACTTCATATTGAAGAAAGCACTGGAGTCCTTCGTTTCCAAATGCTCAGCTCACTTTATCATTGAAACACACAATTCATCACGGTGTGACAAAAATGCGCTTCCATTTTCTTTCTTGTTATCCACATGCCAGAATGACATGTACTCTACTATGTATAACATTGCGTTTGGCGCTGCCTCACTGCTACTTAGTTTATGATGCATCACACAGGATGCCTGTAGCCACCGATTGAACACCTCCAAGTGATCATGTCTGGCGTTATCTCCAACTGCATTAGTGTTGTTCATTTTCTCTTACTCTTCTTTCTGTTGTAGCGTTTCTTTCTTCCCTCTGCTCTCTGCCACTTACAACTGTTGTACTGCTTGCCTTGATGCCCTGTGTGACTGCGACTGTCTGACTTCTCAGTCACGTGCCCAGCCAACCGAAGGAATACAAATGGTCAGAACTTGGTAGATAGAGTGGATCACTACAGCATAGGTTAAGTATATTTATTTAAGAGGTCAAGGTCACTCACTGCATCTGGTTTCCAGCCCTTGTGAGTGGATTCCGCTCCCCTGGTTTATCATATTGATTCCTTTGACGCGGGCTGGTATTTGCTGGCCGAACAATTGTCACTCGATTCCCAAATTCAGCGGAAAGGTCAAAGCTCGTAACACGCTCGTGCTGATGCCGTGAGAGAACTTTGAAAAAGGCGCTAATACCTACGTGTGCCGCCTGTGGCTGGAACCATAGTCTACACTCCTAATGTGTAGTAGTTTAAGGAACTGCGCTCGACTTACCCCATAGATATTGGATACTCACATTTGAAGAGGCCCAACTAACCATCACAGATCGAACTAAGTTGAGTATTGCACTCGTATTTAAACCTGATTCAGGTCCGTTGGTTGGGTTCCAGTGAATACCGGTTCATGTAAAACCTTTAACGGCATGAATTAAGGGTGGTAGTTCATCGGTCGACATTGAGTCTTCCTCACCGGGAACTCGTCGCGTTGTTATACAGCTTTACCAACTTCTGTTTGCTGTGGATAGAAAGCAACAGCTTGTTCGTCTATACTCCTCAAGATCTCAGTTTATATTATATTATATATATAGCACTTTACCAATAAACAACAACACATGAGTAACCAGCAAAAATATGGGAGAAGAGGCAATCAGGTTACTTGGGTTCACGTGTTGCATGTGCGTTGAACTTTTAGGTTGCGCAGGCCGAGGAAGAGGCTTAACATGAGGGATCCCACGCGAGGCAGCGCACCGATCAACGCGTGTCGCTGGAACGTCTAACCAACTGCTGAATTCGGAGACCTTTGACAGCCAGCTGGCTTAATAGATTTCTTTGTATTCTGTAGCAGTCCACACAGAGACCAGTGGCCAGCAAGACTGTTTATCCGCCCTCCCTTAGTTCCTCACTTCTGATTACAGAAGTGAATGGTCACTGACCCTATTTCCAGTCACTTTAGGTTTGACACCACGCCGTACGAGTTCTTGCGGTATTTAATAGAGTACCAGATGAGCAACCCAGAACCCCTCGCGCTCTGAAACACTGCCGCTGATTTTACGCGACTGCTTATCCATCTCGTCTGCAAAGCAAACGAGACTTACTCGCAGTTGCCTCCATAAGGAACACATTCTCTAATCCGCAACTTGGGGACGCGCATGACAGCCTACAGCTCCTCCACGGGAGTTCTTATGGTTAATTTTTCGAAACAGGGATCCCGGATGATAAAAGGAGCAGCCGGTCTTTCTACCTGGACGCATCTGCCTAGAACACCTTTCCACCGTGTCACACTTAATAATGAAGCAAAATACACTCTGGGAGTCGACTCTGTTAGTTCCCAGCAATTTCACATTCTCGTTTTACTCTAGTGATCGGTTCACTCTGTCCCATCTACTCACCTGGTCTTGTGCCTCCACGAGATTGTCACCGTGCGCTGGTAATTCCATATTTTCCATTTACTCAGCTGTAAGCTTGACAGTGGCCCTTACGGGGAAAGATGACGTGCATCTAAGCTGACTTATTTTTCTCCTTGTATTTTATTTCTGGTGTTTTCTGTCATGGACAATGTCTTTTTGGAATCTCGCTATACTGACCTTGATTGCTTCTTCCGGTGAAACATTTTATTAATTGAATTTTTGCGAACTATGTAGTTTAGTTACTTATCAACCACGGAACAACTCAGACAAAGTGGGATGGTCTCTTTGAGGTTGTTCCACTTTTCTTATGCGTCTCGCACGTTCAAATTACGAAGAGTCGTTGTGTGAAACAAAACATCAGCAGTATCTCGCTGCGCAGTATTGACACATCGCTGCCGCGCAATCACCACCAGGCGCACATGGTCGGTTAAACAATTGTTACTCTTGACCACGGGGAATTGGGGTTAGATGCTCAATTCGTCCATCTTTATGGTTACTTGACGACGATGAGTTCATGACTCCTGAACCCAGCACGAAAGCTGCCATCTAAGACCTCTTTGGCACTGATTTTCTTTGCTTACCGGTGTCCTTATCTCTATGGCATTGTGGCAACGACTGAAAGCTTTGCACCTTAGGTACATTCGTATCTTTGGCGGTCGATGTATGCGAAGCTTTGCTGGTGTCTGGTGGATACAGTGCGTACACCACTTCGAAGCCCAGTCTCTAGGCAGCCGTGGCCAGATTAGTCCTCTTTATCCTGATTTCAGAACACGCTGCGGGTGTCCGTGTATTTGTGATCGAGGCATAATCGCTATCAACAACTACCACCGTGCTGCAACAATTTTATCTGACTCTTCGCTGCCACCCAGTATTTATTGACTTATGAGATGAGGAGTAACAAGAGAATGAAGGGGGATCTAGTACAGAATTTCTATGCTGTACGCACAACTTCAAGGTCAACGCGCATCTGGCTTGCTAGCATCATACAGTCGCAAACAGCTGGTTCTGTTGCAAAGATACGGCACTATGGGAAAGATATTTATGCCGTTTTCACTGCCCCATGCTTCAATCAGTCTCGCACCGCTGGCGACACAAACTCAAACACACTTTAAACAGGAAGTCTCACTGGCAAACCACCATGACACCGATTGTGAGCATTCCCTGTGAGGTCTTGAGTCAGCGCATTGCGGATCGTGTGGATTCAGTCGGAAAAGCATGACAGATTAACAACACCAAGTTCCTTCAACTAGAATGGAAACACGCTTTGATATATCTTATCTATGACGATCTACTGTTTGGCAGTAACTGTTGACCTTGAAATGGAAACTTTACTTTACCGGCCACCAGTTTGGATTGTATTGATCGGTTCCGGCTTTCCGGTTGTATTCCAAGCAGTACACCCTACACTGGGCTCGCAGTTATACAAGACTTGGTTCTTCTTCGAAAGCAATATCATGTCCGCAATTGTTTCCTAAATCGCACCCGCGTTTGAACTGTGTCTGGTGCTGAGTTATCTGTGAGTCAATTTGAATAATTACACAAGATATTGGAAGCTGCAAACAACTTATCACGTTGATAGGGCTTTTTCACAAGATTAATGACCATTTAGGTTAATGCATTGTTGTTTGTATGTTGCAAATGCTCGATTCTTAATATTTCAATTAGCTTTTACATAAGGCTTTCCCATTCCTTATTCTTAATCCAACTATAGCTATGTGGTAATGGAGCATCAATTCCAAATACTGATGATTCTCTATCATTGAGGTTGTCGGTTTGTATGTTAGCTTGTACTCTTGGATTTAAGGCTTTTTTGGCATCAGAACGTCATCAGATGTAAAAGCACGGTAACGAATTTTCCATTAACCTCAAGTCATAGATTTGATTCATGCATTTGGTTAAGATTCCTGCAATTCACCCCGATACTGTAATAGTTGCTTGTGATTGTATCATTAGAACTTACGTATGGCTCGGAGTAGGCTACATACTTATTTTGCCACCCAGTCGGACACGACGTATCCAAAAAGTCGGTGGCAGATCTGTAGTTCGACCGCATTGTCTAACTGACAGCTATACCATCTTACAGTCCAAGTGTTTTGTCCAATTATCCAACTGATTTATTAGCTTTGATGTCGGTCTTTTGGCATTCAGATCACGGGTTCAGCTACCATATGCTAACACTGATGCAGCCGTTTATTGTTGAACAACAGTAAGGTATTACTAACATTTTGATGTGCGCCTCTGGCAGATCCACCGTTCATATTAACTGTTCCGCACAGACACACACTTCCCCGTTGCCTGTACTTTCAATGGTATCATGAACATTGGTGACTACAGTTTGTTGCACATATTTTCTACTTACTTCATTTCTTCTTTGGTCCCTTTCACTGACAGTATCTACTATGCTTGCTCTCAACCGGTCTGGATGGTGCCAAGCGTGCTGGAATTATGCTGCCTATTCCGCAATTCCCTTTTTATTCGGCAACAATCACAGAGTTTAATCTCTACCAAGTGAGCACTGTGAAACTGATTAATTTATCCACCCGTCAAATCGGATGCTGTGATTCCTTGTTTGACTTTCTGTAATATCTCATGCGGCTGATCCGACGGGCAGCCTGTTGGACCTGTTGTCAGTGGATGGTTTATCTTTCCTTCAGATTCAGTGCACTATGCCTGCTTTTACTCATGGGAACGTCGTGAGCTAAAACCGATGGACTTCCCAATTGCTGGAAACCGGACAGAGACCGTCTGTTGACTCTCTAGAATAAGGATACGACACAGGACCGCATCCACATCCGCGAAAACAATCCACCTTATGTACCTTTGCTCTGAATTCCTCTGTATTGGGATCGGGCTTTTGAGTCCGGTGCTTTGACTCAGGCCCTAATCATTCCACCATTTGCATCTAGTTACGCTGGGTAGTTCTCGTTCCCGCATACCTCAGTGAACTTCAACCAGTTTTTCGGCCATTTTGGTAATGGTAATAGCACGATTCTCCAGTTCCTATGGCACCGTCGGCGTGTTGAGGAAACACCGTCATTTTTGTTAAAGTAGGTGTATCTGGCGTAGGCACAGACAGTCTGTGTTGAGCAGCAAATAAAAGATGGTCAACGTTTGGCCATGGCGTATTTTGTTTCATGGCCCAAACTACCGTTAGTCTACAAGGAAGTACAGCGATTTCCTGGTTTCAGTGGGAAATCCAATTTGAAACTGTGGAGCTCGCACGACTTCCGTGCGTCATTGCGGTGCACACTTTACCGTAACTACTCATTGCCTCTTGTCGAAGACGTTCGAACGCAACAGCAGCTGTAAAGGCTAGTTCCTTCAGAGGTTTATATTGGAACATTGGCAGCATTAGTTACAACTGCCCTAGAAGAACTGACAGCTGGAGCCACTTAATCCTGGATTCGCTCAAGAATAAAGGATCAGCAACTCACTGAATTTCGCGGAACAACGTCAAGGACTCACGGTTTCCCAGCTTAGAACTATTGAGCAGTACTAGTGTGATCCATACGCCCGGATGAGTCCTATAAAATTGTCCCTGTTGTTGTTTCACAAGGCATCTTCCGATGGAAAAATATTAGTCTCCTGAACCAACCTCACCACCGGCAATGGAAATTGTAAATCTAGTTGATTTGATTTTAAATGTTCCGTTTGAATATCTCTTTCTTCCAGATCAGTCACGAAAATAGCAAACCAGATTTGTGGGCTGCATTCCCTGAGTTTAGAAGCAACCAAAGTTAGCCACTGACACTGTGAGAATACTTGTATGTAACACGTAATGTGCTTACCTTGTAAAAGTAAAAGAATCTACTCTGCGCCTAGTCATCACTTCCACGCCCCCTTTTAGAATACTGCTCAATGGTGTACTGTAGCAAAGACAAATTAGACCACATTATACAACAAACATTAACAAAGCGCTTATTAGGTACCACATTGCAACTAGAATATTTCAAACGCTGTGAGAAAGTCAAGTTTGAGCCCCTCTGATTGAGGCGTATGAAGCACAACAAACTCACATTCGTTAACGTTCTGCACCAAAAATGCACACAAAATAACGATAATTCTGTAGTGGAATGCAGGTCGAAGAGCACCAGAGCTGCCAACTTCTTCCTTAACAGATATGCACAAATCTGGAACGATGGATTATTCAGGGATATAAAACAAACACTTAGCAATTTTCCGTAGATTAATAGTGAAATCAAAAATTGATGTTTCAACATAAACAAGAACGTGTAGCAGTGGATTTACCACAAATTTCAAGTGTACGCATTGTTTGGTTCAACTACCTGGTTAAATCGTGTAATGCAGGTGGTGTACGGGATCAACAACTCAAGTTTTGGATTAGGACAACGTAGGAGCGGATATTAAAAAAAATACGGAAGTAATTTCTGCGGCTGGGATACACGAAACCAGAAATAGTTCCGGCGGTATTTCAACCGCTGGACTAGCATTACGGCGTAATGTCTGAGTTATAATAAGGTTCGGCATGGGTGCTTAGAGGCCTTGAGGATCTGATAAACAAATATGAGATCACCTAGCAGGGGACGATATTTCTCGCTAAAGATTACTAGAGTATTTAGTCTCAACTGATAAGAGAGGTGGAGCAATCTCTCAGCTATTTTGTCGCCCTTCATTTTGGCTTCTCAAGAGCAGTGTGGTCATGCTTTTGCCAGGATTTCCACATCTCAATGACGTATTCAACGTGTGGTCGCACGTAAGCGTTGAGCATTTGCGAAAACAAGGTAGGTTCACACCGGCCAAACGCCCTGCGCAGTAGACCTAAGTCCTGGCTAACTATTTTCACTGCCTTCTTAGCTTGCTTTGTGCATCCGAGATCGTCTTTCACGTGCACCCCGAGATCACTTTCATGAGGAACGCACTGCATGACGTGTTCTCCCTGTCGATATTGGTAGGAGCGTAGGTGGGGTGCTTGCAATTCAGAGCAAGTACTTTGTAAAAGGACCAACAAGTCTTGGCCGTGCAAAATGTGATCAACCTATTGGGAGGTCAGATAACAAATAGCCAAGCATACGAACAAGAAACAGGATTTATATGATCCAGAAATCAGTCTGCAACAGAGAGCAAATAATGCAGTGGTAAGGCTCCTACACTCACCGTCTTTATGTTCTTTCTTCCCTCTTCACGGTTATGCCAAAGACAAAGTTGTCACCGACTAGTGTGTACTGAGAGAAGAAGTCAAGCAAACACGCCGCCACGATCTCCGTTCTCATCGTGGATATTTCTACTACTCTTATTGCAGTTTACTCCTACATTTAGCTAGTATAACTGCCTCACTTGCCCCAGTTTATGTGACTAACAGTATCAGCATTTGATACTAAGCAGCCATCGCATTGAGCTTAAAGAAAATTGACACCTAGTTTATACATTTCCGTATTTACGTCTTCAACAGACCTATCCATTCCGATATAGACATCCTGTCCAATATCAGGTAGCAAGATGAAACAACAGACACATTTTATACCCTATCAAATTTGAAAAGCGACTTTCTTTACTGTTGTACATTTTCCGGGTCTCACCGAAAACCAGAATATACGTTTTTAAAGCAAAGATCCAATAGATACTTCGGAAAAGCAGACGGGAGAAGCAGCGAACCGAGCAAAAATAAACAGTTGCAAATTATCGCTTGCAAATTGGGGTCCTCAGCTTATATAATTATTAACTATCAGTCCACAGGTAAGTGTCATCCGAAGGAGAGTAAGGTTAAACAAAGCGAAGTGTGCTCTCGTGAGCTACAAGCGAATGTAAGCAGTCGAAGAGAACAGGAACAAGCGTTCACACAAAAGTTCACTGGGACGTCAAAAGACGAGTTTAGACGAGAGGGGAGAATTACGGTTTAGGTACGCGAAATGGGTTTTTACAATAGCACTATGTGTTTCAACGTGGGCTTTACACCTTCATTGTTCAAAATGCAGCGAGAGTGCTGTGGAGCAAACTCTGGTACTGGTAACGACGGTGCTCAGTAGGAACAATTGCGGATACTAATTATTCAGAGATGTACAATCCAATAAACTGGGGTCAAATTAGCAAGAGCACGGAACAAAGTAGCGCGCACGACACAGTGAATTTGAAAGTGGACGAGATGTACAATCAGTAAACTAAATGGGACGATCGACAGATACAAACAACACTAACATCCATTGCCACGAACTACTGAAAGCGTAAATGTTTCCTGTTCATTGGTGACCGGCTCACACTAACCATCTAACTGTCGGTACATACCGTTCCCAATATTTGAAAAGGGATACTGAGTAGTAACGGGACGAATGTGTATTGTTGGGGCTGAATATGCAGCATTGAACGACGCGTGGCTATCTAGGGAAGGAACTGAGGGATTGTGCGCCCAGATGAATCCAACCAAGGCGCCGTGCTTTTATGTATTTGTATACGTTGGGTCAGTCACACAAACTCAAACTACACTTCAGCGTTCTGTAAACAATCCTTAAGTATATAATAAAATGATAGCTTGTTAGTATTTATCACAACATACTCAGACAAACCGTAGGAATCTTCAGACCGCTGCAGAAGTACTTTTACCGGATTGGGTCAATTTACACCAGTTTTCATGAAGCAGTCACCCGATGTGGTCGATCGCTTTACTTGTCTGGCAACTTATCTCACCTCCGAGAGTTGCATTAGAGAACATTTAAGGACACGTTGCGAGTACTGGTGTAGCTTTTTGAAGATATGACCAATTTTGCGGATGTTGGTAAGTAGTTTAACTGGTCAAAATCGTCTTAACTCAGTTCGGCGCCGCATATATTCCCGTCTGGATCATCTTAAACTTGGCCTCTGCACATTCAAAGTATTATTAAAGTGACCGCGTTTGGCCACTGATGTATGCGGATTATGATTCATATCTGTTGAAAAATAATGGGGCTCGCACCTCGGTATCCATCATTAACCCATCCGATGCCCCACTGGAACGCCTGTTAAACTTGAATCTACTCCACTGGCTCGACCATATGCTCTACATCCCTGGAAACCGAATACCTGCGTCCGTTTTGCTAGTCAACACTATGTTAACGTGAATAAAAACACAAGGTGGTCCGTTAGCCATGATCACCAGGAGTGCGATAAAGACCGGAAAATTGCATAAGGTTGGTGTCTACGTCCTCTTGGCTTTGGCCCGCAAAATCGACAATATCTGTGGCTCCGTAATAACTCCAATTTTCAAAGGAGGATTCCGTTTCGGAAGCAGAAATCATAGAGGAATCAGTCTGCTCTCGATTGCCTCTAAGTCACTTGTATTTGCCCTCTTTCATAGACTGATTGGCGCTCGTGAAAGCCAGATTTGCAAGTAGCAAGCCGGGTTTCATCATGGTCGGGGATGCATTGACCACCTATTCACATTGCGTCCATTTTTGGGTCTCTGTCACATATATTGGCGGTTCACCGTTGTCTTGTTACTCGATATCAATGGATCCTTTGCTTCGCTTGATCGATGTGCCTACTCAGGAAATGTGTGCCCGAGAAGTATGTAAATATTATTCGAGCATTATACTCATGTAGCCCGGCAGAGCGAGGGTTTACGGCAAGCGTTTGCGGCCCTTCAATATCTCCAGCGGTGTGAGACAAGGTTGTTCGCTGTGACATTTCCCCTTTAACTTCGCCATAGACGTAGTCATGGGCACGGCTTAGGTGTGGAACTGCCCCCTGGTGAAGGACTTCTCGATTTGGAGTTTGCCGACGACATTGCGCCTATTTGTGACTGCTCCCGAACGTGCCATGTTGCATCAGATACATTAGCTCTGGCTCTCAGTCATTTTGAGCTATCCATTGCACCATCGGAATGCAAAGTTCTCCAAGATTGCCAGGGACGCACTCTTACATTGATCCTTGGCGGTGATCACCTAGAAGTTTTTCACAAATTTCAGTATTCGGGCAGCCATATCAGCGCCAGTGGAACGGAAGATGAGATCACGAACCGTATAGCAAAACCTCCGTGCGTCTTTGCTAATCTCCGCCACCTGTGGTCCCGGCGTGACATTGCTCTCATTCTGAAGGGCAGAGTTTACAATGCAGCCGTCCGTACAACACTCCTGTACAGTTATGAAACCTGACCCGTCAAGTCGACAAATATAAAGAGGCTACTCCCGTTCGATCATCGGTGCCTTCGCAGATTAGCTCATGTCTGGTGGGAGCGCCGTGTGTGCAACGAGTGTGCTCGGCGTCGTGTACTTGGTGCAGGAAGAGCGAGTGAACCGCTCAGCACTGTTATATCACGCACCAGGCTCCGATGCCTGGGCCAGGTGTTGCGCAGGCCGCCTCACAGACTCCCGCGTCTTGCGTTGTTTGCTCGCCGGATTTGTGGATGGAAAAAAGGAGAGGAGGCTAGGCGATGACTTAGTCAAGAGGAATGAAATTCGTTACTCCGAACTTAGTGTCGGTTGGTTTTTCGACTACCAGGCTGGGGACTAAAGGACGATGAACACGTTTGGTTGGCTAGACTAGCCGACATGACGAAGAGTCGACTTGGTTGGTGTTTGTATTGTGTGTCTCATTGTCGCTCCCTTCCGAATAGCTTTCCCCATCCAACAAAAATCACATATGCGATGTTAGCATTCTGTTACTTTTTATGGCTTTTAAGACCACATTGCTTAACGTCTTTTTGTATTGTGGCAGATTACCTGAGGTGTGTTTCTCACCCTCGGCTGTAGTGTGATGATGATGATGCTGATAATGATAACGATGATGATGGCGATGGTGATGATGATGGTGAGAAGGAGCAGGAGGAGGAGGGGATGATAACACACATACACATCTTCCGTTTGTTACTTTCGCAGAAGCAATCCGTGTTATAGTTCTTAGAAGAAATGGCTAAATTTGCAGGTTAGAGTATTTGGATAAAGTGATGACATCTGTGCTTTAGTAGTTAAAATTCAGTATCAACTCAGATGCATGAGCTCGGAGAGCCCTTGTAGAAGCACTCGGTTGATCTTAGATATGGCTAGGCCTTAATTTCGCAATAAAGATACGAGGTCCGTCTACAAGGATATCTCGTTTCATCAGAATGAGTAATAGGGGACATCGAGTACTGGCCTGCTGGGGCATTGGCCATCTTCACACTTTCAGGTTCCACAATGACAACCTCATCCTGTCGGGTAAGAACATAAAGTGTTAGTGGAACGGAGAGCGGGGCTAAAAAACGGTTGGCTTCCTCTTTCATGTGGACATGAAGGCCTCCGGTTAAGCGTGACTGACTAAAGACAGAAAGTAATAGTGAAGCATAAATTGGAGATAAAATTCGGTGGAATGTTTCCTTTCAGTTTTCATGTGGACGTGAAAGCTTGCGGTTAAATTTGACTGAGTAAGTGGTGAAAGTCACAGTTTGCTGAAGATTTTTAACGAACCTATCTTTTCTTTTTGCACTTGCCATGGTGTTCCAATTAAAGATATGGTGCCCCAGCATAGGAGTCCACATTTTCACTTTGACCTTATGTGGCTAATTTGAAAATTTCTCTTATTCTTTTTATCACGAATTTCTAATACACTTGTTTGACTCATCTTCGCAACTTTGCGATAACTTGCCCATAATGATTACGGTCATGGTTATCTTAAACTCCTGTAGTTTGCACATACCCGTTGTGTTTTCTCGTATTTTGTCCCTGAATATCGAGAATGCTGTGAGAATGAAGGTTCCCTCGTTGTCTACGGAACGATGATTTGGTAACTGATATCACGTATAGAGTAGCGTACACTTCGTAAGGTGTGCACATTCACATCTTTTTATACATAATGGTGTATGAATGGGGTTAAAAAGTGTAAACTGAGCCTCGCTCTACTAAGCCAGGGGATATTATGCTCAGAGCTAATACCGTGCCTACCGTGGGCAATTGTTGTAGAATTTTCTTAATAGTTGTTTGGTGAAGCGCTACCAAATACGCTCAGGAGCCAATTCATCTGACCTACGTATGTTGGTACGCTTGCTCTATCCGGCGAATCGTACCACACCAGACCCGTCTGATTTGACACGAAGCAGAGTGAATGATGCTCTTGCAAAAGATTTGCCACTTCTACCGCTTGCCTGTTTTCCCATTCAGGCCCGTTCATATAGAGCTACAGTAAATTTTCACTGCCATTTGTGGTTTCTTCGTATTCAGTGTCGTTCTTGAAGGCCTCAGCAATACGCCGGTACGCGATGCCAACTTTTCGCTGCCACGCAACCACCACCAATCACACGTGGGCTAAGGAGACTGCGAGGGTTGCTCGGTTCCTAATGAAGCTCGAACCCGCGCCATCGGATTACAAGGCGGGCTTGTGATCCTCTTTGGGCCCCGTGTCGACTCGTTCTTGAGTCTAACGATTGATGATGTTCTCCTGATTGATTGGTCTGCCTGGCATAATTCACTGTAACGGCTCAAAATCTATCTTCTCTAGTTTATTTGGAAAGGGTTTTATTATGAAACACCAGCTCTTCTCTAATGTTCTCTCTGTAGATCGGCTACTATCTCGATGAAACTCGTAACTGGGATTTGAATCCGGAAGAGCTTACAAGAGCACTGACAGAGGCACGGGACAGATGCATCCCTCGTGCAATTGTTGTGATTAATCCGGGCAATCCGACTGGACAGGTCTTGTCCCGAGAGAGTATGGAGCAGGTGATCCGTTTCGCTGTTCAACACGGCTTGGTTTTGTTAGCTGATGAGGTGTACCAGTTCAATGTCCACTATCCGGAGTTTTATCCTTGGATAAGTTTTAAACGCGTTCTTCACGAGATGGGCGCCGGCTTCGCTGATCGGCTAGAAATGGCCTCTTTCATGTCTTGCAGTAAAGGATACGTGGGGGAGTATGTTTCACTATCCCCTATCCATTCGTCCGCACTGTGATTATTCCTTAAAATTACCTAAAATAAATAGTCAGCTTACCCGACACTTCAAATATTGTACGTCTGTTTCATGACGCGGCATTGGTCGCATTTAAACGGGCTAAGTTTTCTTCTTTAGTTATCCAGATAAAATACCACTTCTACTTGCAGTAAATGACACGAAGGATTTTTACGCTTACCTTTCTCCACAGTCTACTGGACCTACGTAAAAGTACTGCGCTTATTCCGGAAATTCCTCACTATATAATGGAGCTCATGATTTCTTCCTCCACTGAACTTGGAATACTTTTCTAAGATAGCTGTTTTCTGAACGTTACCATCACTACTCCCTTAGTTTACGAGTACAGGAGATTTTTATTGACACGTTTTTCCCTTATCTACGGTTACCTCGCTGTGCACCCCAACTCGATATCCCTTCCGCCTATCGACATTTGTAGCGCGTCGATCATGTTCTTCATATCTCCCGAACAATAAATCGCATTAGACCCACTGCTATGTAGTATGAAGCTTGTAGTTGGCTGCGACCATTCTGGTGACGTCGTCCTTATCCAAATCCTGCTGGTCGTCCATAACCAGTGGCACAACAGCAACATATGTTCGGGCTCCGTGTTATGATGCGTCATCCGTGTATTTCAGCCCAACTTCTGGGTGTGTGTACGGTTTATATCGACAAGGATCAGTCATTGCAACCCCGGATTCCACCAGGTTTATTGATGGGACCTTAACATCGTACACCGGCAATGCTCCGAAAGCAGCGATGATCGAAAACAGACATACTATGAACATCGATTGTGCAAACATACCGTCTTGCAACTACAGTGCAGAACCTATCTCACCATAGCGCTACAGACTCGATGTTTAAAAAGGTAGCTCAGATATTGTTGACGGAGATTTGCAAAGCAACGCGAGCCTTATAGACGTACCAAGTAAGCTTGACCATTAAACTCTTGGTATTGACAACGGTTTCACGGTAATCGTACCTGTCTACCACTTTCAAAGAGTAACCCAAAATAGTGATAGAAGTGACACCTCTTAGGGCGGCCTTACACTTCGATGATGCAAAGGTTTTCCTGAACTAGGAGTCATAAATCTCCAGCTTACACAGTGTACATATTACACACGGCCAACAGTACAATTGGCAGAGTGCCACAACGTAAGGGAACATACAACATAGCAATACTAATGAAATAGAGTGGGTAAAAATGGTAAAACTGGAGTCAAGGGTTCAGAGTTTCACAACATGTTCAACATTGTTCACAACCTCTTGACACGTCCGATAGGTTTTCCAGCCAATTGTGTTCGTTGTCCTTGCGCCCCCAATCAGGGAGTCGAGAACGCCCGACCGCGCCCAAATTCGAAGTCATACTTTTGATTCAAGTCATTCGTTGACCACCTTCTCTTCGCTTCCAGCCGACTTCTGTGCGCGCAGACTGCACTGTGAGGCAAACGCTCAGTAGGCATGTGAAACACATGCCCAATCCACTGAAGCCTACGCAGTGTAAGTATCCGGCTCAGCAGCCGGTAAAGGCTGTCCGATTTGAAAATCCTTTGATGAACATCTTCATTACTAATGTGGTGTTGTCACCATACACCAGCATTGCTCCGAAGGCAGCGATTATCAAAGAAAGACAGCCTCTGAACGTCATTTGCGCGAACAGGCCAAGTCTCGGAATCGTAGAATAGGACCTCTCTTCAAGTAGAGACTTAAATCGCAGTGATGCCAGAGATGGTGGAGATTAACAAACGAAACTCGGGCTTTAGAGACGCACAAGAAGACCTTATCGGTTAAACAGTTAGTGCTGATGCACCTTCCGATGTACACGAACTTCTCTACCACTTTCAGCGATAAACCTGAAACGGAATGAGTGGCAGGTGATCCTAGCCATTCCTCTAGAAGATCTTACACCTCAAAGGGACGAGGGTCGTTTCAAACTGTGAGGCACACACCACCAAGCTGCACAGCATCTTTTGGGTGGCCTGTGAGGAGTCGCAAATTACGGCGATGTAATCTGTATACTTCAAATCGCGAAGTCGGTCATCCGGAAGCAATTTAATGCCGCTGGGTTTGCAATGCTCCAGAGCGCTCTCCATGATGTTATCCATAGCCAAATTTAACAGTAAGGATGACGCTAGGTAGCCCTGTCTCGCGCTACTGGTGATATTAAAGGGCGGCGAAAGTTCCCCGTACACCGGCGTTTGGCCCGAGGTACGAGGGTAGATGGCTCGAAGAATTTCGACGTACTTCTCAGGCACTCCCACTCTCGAGAGCTAGGTCCAAAAAGCAGCTCAGCCAACTAAGTATGTCTAAGACAACAATCGTTCGCCGGCCGAACGTTTGGCTATGTTCGAGTATTTGGCGGAGTGCAAATATGTGATCGATACAACTTCGGCCAAGGCGAAACCCAGCTTGCTCTTGTTTTGTTCACTACCAGAATGAGCCTTACCAAATGCACAACGCGCTCACTTTGGATGTAACACAGATGAGACTAATCCCTCTGTAGTTAGCGTAGTTTGTCCGCGCGCCGTTTTTGAAGACGGGCGTGACATCTGCGAGACTCCAATCGAACGGGGTTGCTCCGGTGGTCCAAATCTTTTCGAGGAAGAAACTTAGCTCCAGAGCAGGTGACAGATCTCCAACTGTGAAAAGAGCCAGAGGGAGTTCGTCTGGGCCAGAGGTTATGTAGCGCTTCAGAAGGCGAAGCTCATGAGTAACCTCAGCCGCAGAAGGTGATGACGCGTCTACACCAGGGAGCATTAGGTATTCCCGAATGAGGAATCACCGTTCCAGCAGGCCAGTTGAAACTGCTTCACAAAGGGCTCAGCCCAACGCACACGTTGACGTTATTGGCATACCATTTTGGACAGTCGGCGAGGAATAACGAATTACGGTGTTGTCGTCTGCATATATATATATATATATATATATATATATATATATATATATAAGCAACAGTCTATAAAATGGACATCGTACCATTCATCACCATGGAATGTGGAATAGAGAATAATAAAACGTACAAAACATGCAGTAGGGTTTGATAATGGATGAAAAGCGGAACAACAATTTTTTGTAATTTTGCCCTAACCATTTTGTACTTTTTTGCGGTTTTTATGAGTTAGTGTTTTTCTAAACGTGAAATCAGGCATACTTGCGCGCACTGCTTCCACTGGGACCAGTTTTGCGCCACTAGTTCCAGCGTTGGTGACGCACTGACATTCTTCACCTTTGGGTCTCTTATCCGGGGAGTCGAAACTGGGCCAGTGATGGCAGGCAAGATGTCATCGATTTCCTGCATTACCGACAGGTGGACGGTTGACCTCCACGCGGCCTTTTCCAAAGTAAATTTGCGTACACAAACAGGACGCGGTGCGGCAAACGCTCGTTAGGCATGCGCAGGGCGTGGCGAAACTACCTCAATTGACGCAGCCGGACGACATCACAAAGCAGAACCTCCGCGTTATCCAACACATCTAACATCTGCATACTCCAATTCACCAACTCGGTCCTCCGGAAGCTACTCATTGCCTCTGAACTCGCAGCTGTCCAGATCACTTTCATGATGCAGTCCGTGGTAAACTTGAACAGGAAGGCTGATGCTGGGCAGTCCTGTCCCACGCCACTGGTGATACTGAAGGGAGCGAAGTGAAAGTCTGCCGTACCCCCGCACTGGGCGCCAGGTTCGAGAGAAAACACCCTGACGAAACTTAGCATACGCCTCAGGCAATGCCCTTCTCGCAGATACAAGGGAAGCATCCCGAAATCCGAAACCTGGGGACACGCGGGGTAGCATACCATTTCACCGAACCAATCATCGGTCGGTTCACCTCAGGAGGCCTAGCTCATAAGCAACCTCAGCCTCAAGTGGTGATGAAGTGTCTAAACGCCTGGGAGCACTGTGGTTTCCAGAATAACAACTCATCGGGGCCACAAGTCTGTTAAACTGCTGTTTGGAATGCTCACTCCAACACACAAGTTACCATCGTTGTCAGCGAATTGAAATACCACTGGTTTCTCAAGCAGAAGCACAGACTGTCCTACGAACGATAGGTAAAACGAGAGAGCTCGTCAGAATATGCGTCGCAGCACAAGCTATGGCCTCTACCTAATCGCCGTTCTGGTCGATAAGTGCGACAAATTACTTCAAGACCCACTTGGCATCTGCGAAGCACCTTACTAGTTCCTCGCGAGCTCCATGAGTTAGCAGGCTGTTCTTGTACATGTACGCATTGGGGTAAAACAATGATTGTCTATTACATGGTCTTTTGTGCTTTCGCCAATATCCACCAGGAACTGAGGTTCAGTGAAGCTCTTCTAATGTCACATTCCGATGGCGTCTCCCTAGTTGCCATGAAACGTGATGGTCTGACATTCCATAGTTTTCTTAATGCATGTTTGCCCTTTGGCTGAAATCCAATCACTTTCCAAATCAGTCAGATATATCGTTGGTCATTTCTATCCATTATATATATATGTAGATATATATATATATACATATATATATATATATATATATATATATATGTTTCAAATTGTCAGTCAGAGCAGTGGACATGGGGCCATCAAAATTCATGATGATGAAGAAAGTGTAGTATAAGCTAATTTATAATGAAACAATTTTTTTGCGCACGCCCTTTTTTCTTTCTTTGTCATTTCCAAACTTCAAAACATTCTACGGGTGAATCCATGCAATATTGGACACAATTCTCTCATTTATTCCGGTTGCGACCCATGTCTTAAGTCATGTTAATCATCTGACACTCCTCATCCTTTGGTCCAGCCGCGGCTAGACGTGATGTTGATGATTTTATACGTCGTCGCCAAGTGAATGGCTGACCGGTACGCGGTCGCCACCAATCTCATCCTGAAAGTGCAAATAGAGTGTCAGGCAGCAAAAGCTCAAGCATCATGCGTAGGACATCGCCGAGCCATCTCAAGTGGCGGTGCATAATCAGTTTGTTTAATGGGATACTCGCATTCCCAAGTAGTGACGGCAAACGCCG